GTCTCTACTAAAAAAAAAAATAGAAAGAAATTATCTGGACAACTAAAAATATATAGAAAAAATTAGCCAGGCATGGTGGCGCATGCCTGTAGTCCCAGCTACCCGGGAGGGTGAGGCAGAAGGATTGCTTGAGCCCAAGAGTTTGAGGATGCTGTGAGCTAGGCTGACGCCAGGGCACTCTAGCGAGGGCAACAGAGCCAGACTCTGTCTCAAAAAAATAAAAAAATGAAAAGTTTATAAAGTAAAAAAGTTACAATACACTAAGGTTAATTTAATATTGAAGAAAGAAAGAAATTTTTTGTTTAGCGTAGCCTAAGTGTACCGTGTTTATCAAGTCTGCAGTCGTGTACAGTAATGTCCTAGGCCTTCACATTCACTCACCACTCACTCACTGACTCACCCCGAGCAGCTTTCAGTCCCGTAAGCTCCATTCGTAAGTGCCCTATACAGGTGTATCATTTTTATCTTCTATACCGTATGTTTACTGTACCTTTTCTATGTTTAGACATGTTTAGATACACAAATGCTACTGTGTTACAATTGCCTATGGTATTCAGCACAGTAACATGCTGTACAGGCTTGTAGCCTAGGAGCAACAGGTTACACCACATAGCCTAGGTGTGTAGTAGGCTACGCCATCTAGGTTTGTGTAAGTACACGCCATGAGGTTCACACAATGACAAAATCACCTAACGACGCATTTTTAGAACATATCCCCATCGTTAAGCGACACGTGACTGTAAATGTGTGTGTATAGTGTGTGTGTATATGTATACACACACACACACGCACACGCACGCATGCTGAGGGGAAAGGATGAGAGGGTGATTTCTCACCAAGAGGGAAAATGAGTAGTTGGGGTTCCATGCTCCCCCTTGTGGAAGGCTGAGGATGTGTAAGAGACGCAGGGGAAGGGGGGTGCTTGAGGTAGGCAGGACTAACCCACCATGTGCCAGGAGCACACCACACCTTTAATCTTCACAGAAGTCTAGCAAAGTGGGCATCCGTATCACCCCCATCCCTCAGATATGGAAACCGAGACTCAGAAAGGTTAAGAAACTAGTCCAAGGTCACACAACTAGCACCACGGCAGAAGCAGCACTGAATCCAGCTGTCTATATCCCAAACTCCTGTTCTCCTCCCTTTCCGGGGACCCTCTTCACTAAAGGCCATCCACCAGGCTCCCCACTCATCTGTGTGTGACCCCACTGTGCTTCCTCCACCCACCTTCCTGGGCAGGGCCCACCCTCACCTGCAGGGGCACCCCAACATTGTTGGCCACCTCTCGGATCAGGGCTTCTGAAACTGCATTCGAAGCATAGCGTTGCTTGCTGTTCACCTTGATCACGGGGCCCTGGGGAGAGGCGAGGGTGAGGCAGAGGGGGTGACAGGCCCAGAGGGAACAGGATGGTGCCCGGTACCAGCTAGGCGTCCAAGTCTCCAAGGAGAAACGGTGCATCTCACCTTGTGGAATAAGGGCCGGTGGTTCTCCTCGTGCTTGTCCCTGTGAGACAGACAAGGGCCAGGGATGGCAAACGGGAGCAGCAGGCCTGTCAGCACCCACCACCCCTCCATAGCAGACGTCACTAATGGTCATGGCATTCTTTCCCACCCAGCCCAACAGGACTTCAGAGTCATTGTAAACACAGCGTTCCAGGCAGCCTCTAGCAATAGATGGAAACAAGTTTGTAGATACAGCCTACTCAACACACCTGGGTTAGGCACCGCATGACTCTGGCCACACTGGGCCTGGAGCAGTCAAAAGGAAGTGTCCACTGAACCTCCCGATGAAACAAGGGAAGGGGAAGGGAAGAGGCCGGGCCCAGCGCCAGGGCCGAGGCTCAAGGTGGGTTATGCTTGGGTCCCCAGCGATGTGAGGGCTTTGTGGGTCTGGCACGGGAGACTCACAGGTAGTTGGGGTGCACGGCATGGGCCATGTCCGCACTGATCATGAATGACTTGGGGATGGCCTCCTCGAAGGCTGTCAGGTGCTGGGAGGAGGCTGAGATCCGTCGCAGCACCAGCTCCGTCAGCAACGACTGTGCGCCCTGGGCGCTCTCAGAGCCCACCTGGCAACAGCAGAGACCTGACTCTGAAGGCCAGCGAGAGGGGCCCAATGCCCTAATTGGTCTCGAACCCCAATGAGTCACTGGGAGGGGAGTGAGGGGTGTTCTTGGCAACACCCTCAACCCAGCATCATTGCTAAACACCTGCTGGTGGACAGGGGCCAAACTAATTCTCAGTCCTTTCTGGGGCAGAAATAGCACTTACTGGTGGGTTTCTTGCACTGCTCCTTCCTTCTCCCTGACCCTCACATCTGAGGTTCAGGAGAGGTGCCCCAACACACTGGTCAATTTTCTTTTTATGTGTGTGACATAGACTGCTAACTATCCATGGTATCTTTTATAACAGAACACCCAAGTTGCAGCTAAGCATGTTATTACCCAGCTAGGGGTGACATTCCTGGACTCCCTTGCAGCTAAACATGCCCATGCTAAGTTCTATGGAACTTTTGGATCCCACCCTTAAAGGCATGGGCATCCACTCCCCCTCTGTCCTCTGCTCCCTTTCCACTAACTTGGTGTAGACATGACAGCCAGAGCTGGAACAGCTGCCCTGGGTCCTGAAATGGAAGTCATGTGTTCCGGATGGCACAGACCCATGCTGACCTGCTAACTCTGACCTGCTAGTGACGTGAGAGAGATCTATCTATCTGTTCAAGCTCCACTGCAGCGTCTAAGACTGCAGTCTAACATATGTGTGCAACACGTGCTGAGCCCTGGGGCCACGAGGATGAACTGGGCAGGGTGTCCCAGTCCTTTAGAAAGGAGCTCACCATGTGGCATACAAAGAGATATGGGAGATGTCACCCTAGAAGAAGCAGATATATGCTGAGCCAGAGGGGACACCCAGTGCTAAGGAAGCACAGGCGGCATCTCTCCCATCTTTGGGGCCTCCAGAAGAGCCCTGGCTCACAGTGGGTGCCTGGCACAAGTTAGATGCAGAAGACCGAACAGAGAGGACCCTCCCCAGAGCCCTCTCCATACCTCTTCATTGTCATAGAGGGTGATCATGCGCACATGAGGCTCCGTGGCCAGGGAGGCAGGGGCTGCGCAGGAATCAATCAAGGCCTGGAGCGAGGAGGGAGACAGAAGCGTCAACCCCACCCTCCTTCTTCTCTGACTTAGCCACCAGCACCTCGAGGCGCACGCTCCCCCATCCACCTTCCATTGTCATGGCCAGAGTAAAGTGGGCTGGGCTTTCACTGGCCTTCATCTCTTGGGGCACTGCCTGGAGGAGGCCGTGGTGGGGACCTTTACAACTGGGACGGGAGAAACCACCCTTCGGGTGTTCTTTTCCTACACCTTCCCATCAAAAGGCAGAAAGAGGATGTGGAAGACAGAAAAAAGAGCTTAGAATCTTAGAAAGACAAAGGATCACAGTGATCACGTAAATTGGCCTCAGTAAAAAGACCAAAGTCCAAAGAGGTGACCATGACCCCATCAAGGTGACATGACTGGCTGGCTGCAGAAGCAGATGCAGGTCCCAGGTGTGGCTCTGGTCTCAATTACAGCCCAAAGCCTGTCTCCAGCCACAGGATGGCAGGGAATAAAAGGTAGCGGAAACCAGGAGGGTCAAGGCAAGGGGAGAGAAAGAACAGGAGCTGACTAGGTGGAAAGGTGGGAAATATCAAATGACTAGGGGACAGGTGGGCCCACTGAGATTCCCAGGAACAGGGAGAAGGTGGGTGGGCTTAAGCCTGGGGTGGGGTGGGGGGAGCAGGGTGGGGTGGATGGTACTGCTGCGTGGGATGACAAGGCCTTTCCTTTGAGGCAGAGTTTGTCAACTTAAGGAAAAGTGGCAGGAGCAGGGTTAGGACAAGACACCGTGGTGCCCTAAACAACTTCTCAGCCTTCCTCTTACCTCAGCCTCTGGCCAGGGTGAGGACAGAGGCCGCAGCACTCAAGCCCCTCCCCATGGTCCAGCCAGCACTGGCAGACTGAGGGGGTGGCCAGTGGCCCTCTCACACCTGCTGGGGCTCGAGGCAGTCCTCCCCACCCCCAACACCCCACCTTTCCTGGTGGTGCTGCTGCCTGGGCGGCGTGCGCCAGCTCCTCACCTGCAGGGCACAGAAGCAGCTGTGCAGATTGTCCAGCCGAGGAGCAAAGATGAACTCATCGTAGGCACCACCCAGGACCTAGAAAGACAGGACAAGTCAGCCTGACCTTCAACCCCCCACCCCCACTCCCCTGCTGCTCCTGCTCCCAAGGGCCTGAGCTTAAGCAAGCCTCCTGGGATTCTTGCGCAACCTCTCCCTGACCCCTGCCTTGGGGCACTATTATTATCTCTGCTGTGCAGGACTGGGCAGAGAATGGAGCTGGGCTGGTGCTGAGGGACAGGAAGGTAGAGTGGAGGCCTATTGCTGTGGGACAGGAAAAGGAAGGGCTGAACAGTCACTGAAAAGGCCAAGGAAGTAAACAGAGGTGACTAGTCAAGAAACAAAAATCTAGCACGTGTTCGGGTAGGACAGAGTATCCAAAGACTTAGCAATCTCCTGTTGTCAGCAACTGGCAGACAGAGAAGAGTTGGCCACATCTATGCCTCTTGCCCTCTTGAGGTTCAGAGCCAGTGCGGGTCAGAGCAGACAAGGCCCACCTGTGGGAGAAACTACTGGGGAGTCTTTGAAAAGGGCTGATTCCCAGGCCCCATCCCCAGATAGTCCTAGTGGCAGGTCTGGGGTGGAGACCTTGACTTTTTGAGACCCACTGCCCTAGAAGCAGAGGGGGATGTATCTACTGGGAAGAACGGGGATGAGAGTAACCGAGGGGTTGGTGGAGGTGATGAGTGCTTGAGGTGACACACTAGGGCTGGCCGGGCTCCTGGAGACCCCTCCATCCACAAGTTCCTGCAGCCATTCCTCACCGCAGGCTGGGTGTCTGCAAGGCACAGCTCCATCTCCACTATGTCCTCAGGGCTCAGCCCCAGATGAGCAGAGAGCAGGGACATGAGGACTGAGTGGTGCCGCTCCTCCTGCAAAGCAGAAGGATGCTGAGAGGAGGGTCCGCACCTCCTCTCGTCTCCCCGTCTCAGGGGACTGGCGTTTCCCCTCCACCACCCTCCCCATGAGCAGGGGACCCTCTTACTGCAGCATTGAGAGGCCCTGGCTCGGGAGTGCCCTTCTCCAGCTCCTCCTGGGCTGCTGTGGCAAGAATGGGGACTCTGTGGGGAGATTCATGAGAAGGGGGTGTAGGGAGGACACAGCAGGGCAGAGCACCCGTGAGTTCAGGTGACTCCTAGTGGGCAATTGCCTTTGCCCTTCAATTCCCAGCCCACTCCCCAAATGGCAGAGCTATGAGGACCTTTGGACAACGGGTCCCAAGGGAAGCACTTGACCACTACCATTAGGTAGTGGTCTCCAGGTCCCATTGGGGCCCCTTCCATCACCTGGTGCCATTCACCATCTCCCCCGACCTCAGTCACCAGAGCCCCTGCCCCAGTCTCACAGGTGCATCTCCGTGTTGGGCCCAAAGTTCTCGTTGATACTTCGCTGCAGATGGATGGCCAGGTGCGGGATGCGCAGAATGGGCCGCTCCACGTTCACCAGCCGCTGCTCCAGCCGACCTGAGGTAGGGCACTGTGGCCAACCAGGCCAGGTCAGCCCTCCCAACCTCACTTCACTCAGACTAACCAGGGTGCTTCTCTGACCTGGATGGCCCCTACCCATCTTCCCCAGGGGGCTCCTGAAGGAGTGTGGCAGTCAATCTTCCAGGGAGACCAAGAGCCTACCCAGGCCTGGGTTCTCACCTTGACAATGACTCGTCCAGCCAAGGTCAGGTCTCGGTCAAACCAAGTGCTCCAGATCCCACCACCATAGGTCTCCACACCAACCTGCTGGAAGCCCACCTGGCTGCGGCGAGACCGACGTTTCACCTGAGCATAAAGATGGGGGAGAAGGCAGAAAAGGCACAATGATGAGATTTGGAGATCAGGCTTAAACCATTCACAAGTAACACAGAGTGAATATTAGTGCCAGAGGAAAGGCCCCAAGTGTGGAGGAAGGGGCAGGAAGTTTATCTTCTCTGCTTCTGGGGATAGAGCCCCCCAATTTGTACTTCCTGGCTCTCTTTTGCCCCATACTCCCCTGACACCTCCTCCCAGGCCAGCACAGCCCCAGTTCCTTACCCGGAGGCAGGGGCTGTCCGTGTGGGCCCCAATGAGGCTGAAGCCATTGCCAGGAACATACTGGCCCCCCACAGCAAAAGCAATGATGGTGGAGGAGTTCCTGGTCATGAAGTACTGGGGGAGAGGGGGAGGAAAGACAGGGGTGTGAGTTGCATTAGCCAGCCAGGGCACATGACTTTGAGATCCAGCCTAGGGACTTGCCTCTCCACCACCACGCCACCCCTTGTACCTTGCTCTGGGGCTTGATATCCCAGCTCTCCGTCTCCTTGAGTTCATGGAAGCCAGCCTGGAGGAGGCGGTTGCGGCACTCGGCCACAGCTGTAGAAGAAGGATCCTCTCACAGCGGTGGATGCTGGTGGGGGACACACCAAGCCCTCACCCTCCTCCCTTGCCCTGGTCAGTTACCGTGGAAAGGAGAGGGACTCCGGTTCACGAACTTGAGGAGTTCCCGGGCCGCGGCCTGCACCGCCTCTTTGCGGGCCCTACCGGTCATGGCCACCTAGGGAAGGGGGGCGCTCAGACTCCTACAAGGTCTGGGACCCCTGGCCTATCATCTGGGCTCTGAGGACTCCCCCATCCCCACCCCCAGAAATGACCGCTCCAAGGCACAGACCTCTATTTCCGTCCCTTTCAACGCCGATAGACCCAAATCATGGGTCAAACCACTGTCCGCTGACAACTTCAGCCCTTCCGCCAAAGAATCACGACCCTGGCCCGCCCCCTAATCCGAGCTTAGCCTGGCTCCCTAAGTCCCACCCCTATGTCGCTGCCCAGCTAGGAAATGCTGATCTGTTCCCAAACTCCGAGATCCCAAGCGGGTCCCTAACTCTGAGCTGGCCTGCATCACGTGCGCAACCTCATCCCGGAGCCAAAGCCCCGTTCCCCAAGGAATACCCCACCTCTCCTCCACCGACCCAGTGTCTCGCAGGACACCCCCGTCTGACCCCAGGAAGGTGGGGTCGCCCGCAACGGGGCTTTCTGTTTCGTTTTGGGTCGGGCGATCCCCCGCCATCGTGGCGCTAAGCTTGGGCCCAGGAAGACGCCGGGCCGGGTCTGAGATCGAAAATCAAGCAGGGCCGGCGGCCGCCTACCTGCATGGCCCCGCGCGGGGGGCTGTGTCCGCTCATCTCGCGGTGCCCTGAGCCCGCCCCGCGGGTCGTCGGGCCTCCGGGTCCACCCGCCCCTCGCCAGGCCTCCCCCGTCCGCCCCGCCCCTCGCCAGGCTGCCCCGCCCGCTCTGCCCCGCCCCTCGCCCAGCCGCGTTGCCCTCCCCGCGCCCTCCCCCGCCCCCGCCCCGCCCCCGGCACGCAGCGCGCGGCCGCCAGGGCCCCCTGCCGCCCCGGAGGTGCTAGGACAGCAGCGAGCCGCCCGCCGCCCCTTCCTCCAGGCTACGAGTCGGAGAAAAAACTCGCCCCTGCCAGCTCACCGAGTCCGCCGGGTACGGTATAAAGTGCTCTCTCTCGCCACAGCGACCCTTGAGATAATAAAAGCAACATGGCTAATGTTCACTGACAATCAGCTGTAGCTGTATGATAAAGCTTAACGTACTCTGTTGTTTAATCTTCACAACTGCCCTCTCAACTTTGTATTTTTACTGTCCCTATTTTGTACATGAGCAAGCTGAAATACAGAGACGAGTAACCTCTCCGAGATTGGCAGAGGTGAGGTTTGAACTCCATCAATTTGATTGCAGTGGCTTCTGTCAGATCTTTTTCTGGGCCTTGTTTTATACACTTTGGTAAGTGTTAAGTTACAGGGAGAGAGGTCCCTGAAGGACACAGAAGTTAATGACTTGCCCAGGATCACAGAGCTGTTTGAGTGGATCTGGGATTTGACTCTGGTATCTGTGCTTTTTCCACTTCTTAAAACGCCAGAAAAAACAAATTCCATATGTTCTTGGCGGCAATTCCAGTATTCTCATGTCAAGAATGGTGAGTAGCAATTTTAAACCCCAGGCATCTGCCTCACTGTAGCTACTGATCAAGATTCTTGGCGGCCTCCAGTTCCAAAATAGGACCCAGCTACTAGAGGTGTAATCAGTATTCCAGGGGTCCACGGAGTACTCTGCCATTGATATCCTTGGGGTGGGAGTGATGGAAGGGTGGGGAGAGGTTGGAAAGATCCTGCAGCCCTCACTCAACCAAGTTAGATATGGCAGGGGAGTTTTTGAGAATACACTCAGTAGGTGATGGGTTAAATTCATGGCATTCCTTAACCATTTGTTTAAATACTATTGGGTATAAAGTTTAGGGCTTTATACCTAAAGAGCAGGACATAGAACATACTAGTCCTCCAAGAACAGTGACTTTAGAGCTGAAACAGGGCTATAACGTATATGGGAAGGAGACAGCATAAAGTCCTTAATGTTTTTTCTGATCACAAAAAAGAGTAAATG